AAAGGAGATCAGGTTGGTCAGACAGGACCTGCCCTTCCTAAATCCGTGCTGGCTGGGTCTGATCCCTTGTCCATCCTGTAGGTGTTGTGTGATTGCACTTAGGATGATCTGCTCCATAACCTTGCCAGGCACTGAGGTCAGGCTGACAGGCCTGTAGTTTCCTGGGTCCTCCTTGCAACCCTTTTTGTGGATCAGCATGACATTCACCACCTTCCAATCATCTGGGACCTCCCCAGTGAGCCAGGACTGTTGGTAGATGATGGAGAGTGGCTTGGCGAGCTCTTCCGCCAGCTCCCTCATCACCCTAGGGTGGATCCCGTCTGGTCCCATAGACTTGTGAGGATACAAGTGGCTCAGCAGGTCACTAACTGTTTCCTCCTGGATTACAGGGGGCTATTTGGCTTCCTATCTCTGTCTACCAGCTCTGGAGGCCACTTGTCCTAAGGACAACCTGTCTTACTGTTGAAAACTGAGGCAAAGGAGGTGTTAAGTACCTCAGGCTTTTCCTCATCTTTGGTGACTATATGTTCCCCCCATGTCCAATAAAGAATTGAGGTTTTCCTTGCCCCTCCTTTTGCTATTGATGTATTTGTAGAAGCACTTCTTGTTATCCCTAACAGAAGTGGTTAAATTGAGTTCAAATTGTGCCTTTGTCTCCCTAATTTTCTTTCTACATGACCTAACTATATTCCTAAACTCTTCCTGAGTAGCCAGCCCTTTTTTCCATAGTCGGTAAGCTCTCTTTTTCCCTCCTAATTTCCTTCAAAATCTCCCTGTTCAGACAGGTTGGCTGTCTTCCCCACCAGCTCGCCTTTCGGCACACTGGGATAGCCTGCTCCTGTGTGTTCAAGACTTCCTTCTTGAAGCATGTCCATCCCTCCTGGACCCCTTTGTTTTCAAGGGCTGTTTCCCACGGTACCCTCTAAAGCAGTCTTCTGAGTAGGCCAAAATCTGCCCTCCGGAAGTCCAGGGTAGAAGTTTTATTGATGGCCCTCTTTGCGTCACTGAGTACTGAAAACTGTATTATTTCATGGTCACTGTGCCCCAGGCGGCCTCCAACCACCACATCTCCCACCAGCCCCTCTCTGTGCAGGTCTAGCGGGGCCCACCTCTGGTAGGCTCATTTACCAGCTGGAGCAGGAAATTATCCTCCATACACTCTAGGAATCTCCTAGACTGCCTCTTCTCTGCTATGTTGAGCTTCCAGTAGACATCTGGCAGGTTAAAGTTGCCCACGAGAACAAGGACTGGTGATTTTGAGACATCTGCCAGCTGCTTGTAGAATAATTCATCACCCTCATCATCCTGGTTGGATGGTCTATAACAGACTCCCACTAGGATGTCAGCCCTGTTGGCCTTCCCCCTGATTCTGATCCACAGGCACTCAACCTTATCGTCACTGACCTCAAGTTCTACAGAGTCAAGAGTCTCTCTAACATATGAGCCACCCCTCCACCTCTCCTACCTTGCCTGTCCCTTCTGACGAGCTTGTAGCCACCCATGGCAGCACTCCAGTCATGTGAGTCATCCCACCACGTTTCTATGATGGCGACTACATCAGAGCTTTCCTGCTGCATGATGGCTTCCAGCTCCTCTTGTTTGTTACCCATACTGCGTGCATTGGTGTACATGCACTTCAGCTGGGCTGCTGATTTCACTTCTAACTCAGGCTTTCCACCCTTAGGTTCCTCTCTGGAGAGCCTGGTTTCAATCCCTTCCCCCTTCAAACGTAGTTTAAAGCCCTCCTGATCAGCCCCGACAACTTACAGGCTAGAGTCCTTCTGCCCTTGCTAGATAAATGAAGTCCATCTGACTTTAGCAGGCTAGGTACCATAGAATTTGCCCCATGGTCGAAAAACCCAAAATTCTGCTGGTGGCACCAATCCTTTAGCCGCCTATTGATAAGATGGGTTTTCCTACTCCTCTCCTCATTCATCCCTGCTACTGCGGGAACTGAGGTGAACACCACCTGTGCTCCTGTCCCATTAACTAATCGACCCAGTGCCTTGAAGTCCTTTTTAATTAGCCTGGTACTTCTTTCATTAATGTCATCACTGCCAGCCTGGACCACCAGCAGTGGATAATAATCAGAGGTCTGGATTAGCTCAGAGAGTCTCCTACTAATATCCCTCACCTGGGCCCTGGGAAGGCAGCAGACTTCCCTGTGGGATGGGTCCGGTCAGCATATAGGGCCTTCAGTTCCCCTCAGAAGGGAGTTGCCTACTACAACTATCCTCCTTTTTTTCTTTATAGCTGTGGTTGTAATCCATCTGGTAGACGGGGTGCAACTGGGAGACCCTCCAGACAGATCTTCCTCCTGACTGCCCTCTGCCTGACTCTCTGGGTCCAGGGCCTTATACCTGTTCTTTAAGGGCACCATGGAAGTGATGGGGGTTGGAAGGGTATTCTTTTACCTCTCCGGTCAGGGACCTGTTTCCATTCCCCCTCATCTACTTGGTTTGCTCCATCTGCCTGATGGCAGGAGGGGAAGGGCTTCACTGTCTCCTGCTGGACTTCTTTTGGGGTCGAAAGGATATGACTCCACCAGTCTATTTCCCTTTCACTCTCCTAAATACTTCTTAGCCTCTCCACTTCTTCCTTGAGCTCTGCCACTAAGCACAGCAAATCATTCACTTGCTCACATCATATGCAGGCATCTCTCACACTGTCCTCTGGTACTAACGCCAGGCTCAGACACTCTGTGCAGCCAGCGACCTGAACAGCTGCATCCTTCCTGGGGGGTTCTGCCTGGGTTAGCACACTCCCCCTGATAGCAGCAGCAACAGCTGTTGCTCGTTTGGAAACCATTGCTGGCTTTAGTTCAGTTGTGTAAAAAAAAACAAACAAAAAAACCCCCACAGCCACACACCTACTTCACAACCCACCAGAGAGAGCTGGGAGGGTGGCTGTGCCCTTCCTGCTCGCCCTGCCTGCACGAACTGCTGCGCAAACTGCCGTGCCACACCCTGATGTGCCACATCCCGATGTGCCACATCCCTGTTTGCCCACTTCTGTTCAACATGCTACAGGTCGCCACGCTCCCTGGAGCAGTTTAAATCTCCTGGCAATGAGCTCGGCTCCACCCCCTGGGCAGCTGATTAGGCCTCACAGGGCAGAGGGTTGGGGCTCCTCTGACTCTTGCTGAGCTTCTATCCGCTGCAATTCTCTCAGGGATGGAAGGGTGTGACTCCACCAGTCTATTTCTCTCACACACTCCCTGATGCTACTCAGCCTCTCCACTTTCTCTTTAAACTCTGCCACCAGGCTGAGCAGATCATCCACCTGGTCACACCACACGCAGATGTTGTCTATGCTGCCCTCCAGTACTAATGCCAGGCTCAAACACTCCCTGCAGCCAGAGACCTAGACAGCTGCATGCTTATAGAGAAACTCTGTCTGGGTCACGATGCTCCTTCTAGCGACAGCTTTCAACCATGTGGAAACCATCGCTGGGTCTGTTCTAGTTGGGCAGGCGAAAACCACCAGGTGAGCTCACCTCAGGAGCTGGGAGGATGACTGTGCCCTCCTACATGCCCTGCCTACATGAACTGCCACGCCACATCCTTCTGATGCACTATGTCCTGATCTCTCACGCTCCCTAGAGCTGTTTAAATCTCCTGCGGTTGCTCTAGCAATGCCCTCACCATGTCAGCCTTTCTTGAGATAGCTGCCAGTTCTCTCCACTCTCTTTACGTTGCCAATTGGCCTTTTTCCATCTGTCTAGCCATCCCCACAGAGCGTTGGGTACCATCCACGAGTCAGTGTAGAGGTAAAGCCTTGGCCACTTCTCTAATTTGGCAATATCCAAAGCCAACTGGACGACTCTGAGCTCTGCAACTTGACTTGATCCACTTTTCCCTTCAGTGGCTTCTGCTACTCGTTGTGTGGGGCTCCATATGGCTTCTTTTCATTTTCAGTTTGTCCCTACAATGCAACAGGAGCTATCAGTGAAAAAAGTGTATTGCTTTTCATCTTCTGGCAATTGGTTGAATGGTAGAGCTTCCTCAGCACATGCCACCTGTTCTTCCTCTTCATCTGCTAGAGCAAAATTCTCACCTTCAGGCCAGTTTGTGATTATTTCCAAGATCCCAGGGTGATTAGGGTTTCCTATTCGGGTGCGCTGTGTGATCAAGGCAACCCACTTGTTCCATCTAGTGTCTCTGGCATGATGCATGGAGGGAATTTTTCCTTTGAATATCTACCCCAGCACTGGTAGTCAGGGTGCCAAAAGAAGCTGTGCTTCAGTGCAGTCACTTCTGAGGAGGCTTGAACGCCTTCATAGGCTGCTAGAATCTCCTTCTCTGTTGGGGTGTAGTTGGCTTCAGATCCTCTGTAGCCTCAGCTCCAGAATCCAAGTGGTCAGCCTTGAGTCTCACCAGGCACCTTCTGCCAGAGGCTCCAGGAAGCACTATTATTCCCGGCTGCAGAGTAGAACACGTTCTTCACCTCTGGTCCTGTCCTGACTGGGCCAAGGGCTACCACATGAGCAGTCTCCTGCTTGATCTGATCAAAGACTTGCTGCTGTTCAGGGCCCCAGTGGAAATCATTCTTCTTGTGGGTTACCAGGTAGAGAGGACTTACAATTTGACTGGGATGTTGTTATGATCCGGTTATTAAAATTATTAGAAATGCCTCTGCCCGAATAAAGGTGCAAACGAGACCAGATACCAAAGTCAATACTATGCGGTTTTTTTAATGGTAAATGTGAGAAAGAGACAGAGAGATAGAAAGAAATAGGAAAAAGGGGGGGAGGGGGGATGAGAGAGAGTGACAGAGAGAGATTAAAACAGAAAAGGTATCACAATTCCGTGTAACCCTGCAGTGTCCCATCGGTCCGGTTCTTCTGGTCTTCTCCGTGGTGAGAGTCCCACAAAACATAGAGTCCAGTGGATTAATACATGTTCAGGAGATGCCAGGCACCTCCCCTGGGGGTGGGGAGGAAGCTTTGCAGTCTCTTGCAACAGACTCTGGATTTGTTGCCTCACTTGGATCACAGGCAGTCTTCTGGTGGTAGAAGGCCTCAGGAAAGAGTTGGGGGGGCGCTTTGGGGGTCTTTGATGGTTTACAACCCCTTCTCATCTGCCTTTCACATGAATGTCCCATGTATACGTGGTCTTCCCAGAGGGAGTGTGGGGGGTGTGTGTTACTCCTTTGGTTTGGTGTGGAGAGATTTCATCATCACACACCCAAAACCCTTCTCTTCCACCACCCCCTGGGCCTTGTTTACTTCTCCTCAGACCTGAGATGATTAGACAAGAGCCTTATCTCAAGTCCTTCTTCACAGTCCAAATTCCAGTCAGGCTTCAGTGGTCGCAGACAGACAGTTGCTTCCTTGCAGTGTGACAAAAAGTCTTTCCATGATTTTGAGAATGTTTAAGACATTACCGACATTTCAGTCGTGCAGATGTGCATCCTCCAGAAACCTATGGCACCCAGAAAAGCTTGCATTTCCTTCTTGCTGGTCAGTAGAGACAGTGCTGTGATCTTGTTGATGATTTCTGTTGGGATCTGACGCTGTCCGTCTTGCCACTTCACTCCCAGGAACTGGATCTCTTGGTCAGGTCCCTTGACCTTACTCCATTTGATGGCAAAGCCAGCTTTCAGGAGAATCTGGATGATCTTTTCTCCTTTCTCAAAGACTTCTGCTGCCGTGTTCCCCCATATGATGATGTCATCCATGTACTGCAGGTGTTCTGGGGCCTCACCCTTCTCTAGTGTGGCCTGGATCAGTCCACAACAGATGGTGGGACTGTGTTTCTACCCCGGGGCAATTGGTTCCAGGTGTACTGCACACCCCTCCAGGTGAAAGCAAACTGTGGCCTACACTCTGCTGCTAAAGGAATGGAGAAGAACGTATTTGCAATATAAATAGTGGCGTACCACTTTGCTGCCTTAGACTCCAGTTCAAACTGAAGCTCCAGCATGTCCGGCACAGCAGCACTCAGCAGTGGGGTGACTTCATTCAAGCCGTGATAGTCTACTGTCAATCTTCATTCTCCATAAGACTCGCTGTCTTAGTTTAACAAGATTACAACTTAGAAATTAAGAAACTTCAGGTGGAAGTATGGAAAAAGAAAAAAACCCAGCTTTTTATTAACAAAATCTGAATAAACAACAAATGGTGCAATCAAAAACTTTCAGAAGAAACAAAACAAAGTCCCAATTCCTCGGGGGGGGGGGAAGAAACCTGCGGCAACCCGGGACAGGGGGAGGGGAAAGGAGGGGGGAAAGGCAGGACTGTCCCAGCAGTTCAACAGCTGCTCATAGCCACGTGTGCCCACAGCAGTCTGCAACCGATGGCATCACAGCCAGCGATGAAGGAGTCCTTTCTCCCACAGGCAGTCCCGAAAACTGAATACCTTGCTCTGAGATGGGTCGGTCCCGTGGGGGAAAAACTTTCTCTCAAGAAAAGAAAAGGAGGTGGCTGAAACCGGGCTCCCTGCTCTGTCCGGTCTGCGGACCAAACCCAAAAGCCCCCGAACAAAGACTCCCCACCAACTGTCCCCGCAGCGACCGCGTTTCCCAAGAGCACTCCCCCTCCCCCTGCTCCCGCGCTGCTGTCATAGTTTGGCTCATCCAGTGTCCCCCTGGGGCTTGAAATGGTTAATTCCAATGTGGCTCTTCCGATATTGAGCCAATCAGAAGCTGCGATACTCCTCTACAAAATTAGCATATTACACAGACCGGAAAAGAAGACTGGAATTACGTAGCTGGAAGGAGAGGCAGCCATGAGTTGAAACGCCATGTGTTAGAGAGAGAGTGGCCAGCGGGTCCTGCTGTGGGCCAAGGCTTCCCCCCAGCCGGGACCACGGGACACCTGGTGCAGTGTTAAAATTGGACCGGGTGCCATGGCCAAAGGCTGGGGGGAATTTCTCCACTGTGAGTGGGCGGCAGAAGACGCCAGAGCAGTGGCGGAGGCAACACAAAACAGTGAGCTGTTGCCAGAGCTGAGATTGGGCTGCTGGCCAAGAAAGTGCAGCAGAGACTTGGCTAGCAGCAAAGCATGGCATGGAGCCAGACTGAGTTTGCAGCAGCGGAGTTAAGAAGAAAGCTCAGCAGGAATGTTTTGGGGTAAGACTGAATTAAATCCCCAGAACCCTTTGACCTCCTTGGGAAGGAGGGGTGGACTTCCAAACTTTAAGGCAGGCCCGAAATGCAGCAGCAGCAGCAGTTAGAGAGATGAACCAAGAGCTAGGAGGCGCCCTGCATTAAGTTTGCATGAGGGCAACCGAAACTGAGGAATGCGGGGGAAGTGGCCCCCCCGCCATGTTTGCAGCCGAGACAGCAGAAGAGATCTGCTAGAACGTTTTCGGGGTAAGAACTGAACTGAAAGCCCCTAAAGCGTTCTGACCTGGGGAACTTGATCCCTCGGGGACAGGGACTTTCACGGAATGCCCTGCACTCCGTGATATGACCGTGATTAGGTGAAACCAAGCAAGAGTTCTGAGATGCTGGAATTCTATTCTGAGGGGATGTTACAGACCCTCGCTCTGAGGAATGCAACATTAACGTTAAGGGACAAGCGGTACCCTGTTCCGAGAGCTCTGCCTACGTATGTTCTGTACTAATGAAAAGATGACAGAAAGGACAACTTAGTAGTCATGAATTAGATAGAATGGACATCTGGGGAGATAAGCGAGCTGAATCGGGGTTTTTCGCAAGCTCCCAGTACGTAGTCAGGAAAAGTTGAAAAGTTCATGACAAAAGAGGACCCTCTTGAGATTGAAGGATAGGAACGACCACCAGAGGACTCCCTAAAAAGGACAGCTCCGTCTCAAGTTCTACCTAGACTCCGCCAATTATGAATATGATAATTAGATTGTGAACTTAAATGAATATGCATGTATAGATGTTGTAATCACTCATGAAAACTGTATAAATTACCTGGTTTTTCACTGAGAACTTCGGAGCTAGTTTGTCTAGTGCGAGCTGGCTAGCATCCCCAACGTTGCTCAAAATAAATACCTTTGCTGCTTAAAGACTCAAACTGTCTCTGAGCAGTCGTATTTCTGCCAGTTTTGGCAACAGAGGCGAGCTTTGTCCCTGCCCGCAGTCCATGGGTGAGACCTTCAGTTGGAACCGAAGGACTGAGCGGGGTGAGAGAGACCCCTGCATTCTAATGAAGAGAAAGAGAGATTTTCCAGCTACGACAAATTGGAACTGCTGCCTTGAAGAGGAGAGATTGTGCTGCCCTGAAAGTGAAAAAGACTTCTTCTTCTTTCCTTCTGGACTTTTATAGGGGGAAGGAGGGATGATCTATGTAAATATATTGCTTTACCATAGGAGAGATAGTTAGAATTGTTGTATATATATTGTGTTATAGTATTTATTGTGTTAGCAATAAATTTTAATATAATTCCCCATGTTGAGTTGTGCCTGTCTGAAAACTTCTCTCATATTGGAACAAATTGTGGGGGGCTTGAAAATTGGCTTTTTGGGAGTCAAACTACAACAGCTGCCCAGCATGTGCAGCTTTGCACCATTCCCCCCCCATCCTGGAAGAAACATATGGCGGGGGGGCATTGGGAAAAAATTCCAACATCTCTTTTCAAACCTATGACACTTGCACACAGGCCAAATGGGGCTGTTGAAGGGTGAGTGGGTCTTCCTGACCACTCCTTGGCTTTCCAACTCACGGACCATCTTGTGGACAGGGATCATGGCGTCTTGATTTGTTTGGTGCTGCCAATGATGCACTGTCGAGGCGGCAATCGGTACTTGCTGTTCTTCTACCTTCAAAAGTCCTACAGCAGAAGGGTTTTCTGACAGTCCAGGCAAAGTGTTCAGTTGCTTAATCCCTTCTGTCTCCACAGCAGCAATTCCAAAAGCCCAACGATGTCCTTTTGGGTCTTTGAAGTATCCGTTCTTGAGGTAGTCAATGCCCAGGATACATGGGGCATCTGGGCCAGTTATGATAGGGTGTTTCTGCCAGTCTTTCTCGGTCAAGCACACTTCAGCTTCTAGCACCGTAAATTCTTGAGAACCTCCTGTCACCCCAGAAATAGTTTCTGGCCCCACATGTCCTGATGGCATTAAATTGCATTGTGTGCCAGTGTCAACCAAAGCCTTGTATTCTTTTGGGTGACATGCCAGGCCATTGGATCCACACAGTCCAATAGACACGGTTGTTTCATGCCTCTACCTTGCTGGAGGCAGGGCCCCTCTAACACTGGTCTTGGTTATGGCAATAACAGTTTTTTCCCTGTGAATACATATGGAAGGTACCTTCTAGTGAGTCAGATCCTTGCCCATGGCACTGCACTTACTGTCACTGAGTTCCCTTTTTCTTTCTCCTTCAGTTCTTGTACTCAGGCTGCTAGGGCACAGGTAGATTTCTTTTCCCACCATCTCATGTCTTCTCCATGGTTGAGTAGGAAGTACCACAGGTTGGTTCATGGGGTGCGTTCGCCTTCTCTAGCTGGCAGGCATCTGTCTCTGACCTTGGAGACTCTGGTTTGCACTGGTGCCACATGGAAACTGTTCTCCTTCATCTCCTCTTGGAGTTTTTCTGTTCATTTTTTACCTCTGTAGTTAGTGCCTTGAGACTCTTAACCAATGTCTCTACAGTAGAGTAATGGGCCTGTAGCAGGGCATGGACCATGCTATCATACATCCTGAATTTACTCATAATAGAGCCCGCTGTCTCTTGGCTTTCCTCAAAATGCATTGACGCCAGGAAACTGGAGTATATGGATGGCCCCTGGCATCCAAGGCTCCACCATATCTGCGATGTGCACCTGACCTTGTTGGGGTCACTATTGGGTTGCCCGTCCCTTACAAAAAGTACCTCCAACAGTGCCATTTCTCTCAGACGTAGGATCCCTTCCTCCATAGTCTTCCAGTCCATTGTATGATGATGCTTCTGCAGGCTGTCTCAGTAAACAAACTTCTCTCTCACACTTGTTAGAAGCCGCACCCAGAGAGAAAGAGGTTTTGACTCCCTCAGAAACGCCTGCTTAATACCCACATCATGGACCAGAGATCCCAAATACCTTGCTTCGGTGCCATCAAGTTGCAAACCTTCACCCATAAGGTCCCATACTCGGATCAACCAGGTCAAAATGGGCTCGCCCGGACATTGAGTAACGTCTTTCCACAGATTGCAGAGATTGTCAAATGACAGGGATTAAGTGATAATCTCAGGTTCTGATTCCTCCACTGTTTGTGAAGGCCCTGGTTCCCCATCCTCATCAACCAGGGATATTGGTTTTATACTTTCTTCTTTGCACAGGGGCAACTGCTGCTGGTTGTAGTTGCCCTTCTGGTTTGACTGGAGATTGAGCGATCGTGATGTCTATTGGTTTTCCTGCTCCGCTATCTTTACCTTCTGACTGTAGGTGGTGTTGTACAGTCCAGACCATGGTGCGGTAAGCGTTGACTAGGGTCCAGCACATTGCTATGAGTTGGCCGTCTCTGGAATTTATGGAATGGTGTTCTTTCACGCACTCAGCAACCTTACTGGGGATCTGTGTTTGGTCAGGGGGAAGCTTCCAAACAATTGGGGGAGAGTATTCCTTCAACACCCAGCCTATCTTCTCCCATGCCCCCATCCAATCAGGGTGATTCATGTCTAGAGTAGACTGTTGTGCAGTGGCAGGCTGTTGGGCATTGTTCCCAGCCCCTCTGGTAGGTTTCTGTGTGGCGTCCCTAGTCTCTGGGGCAGATCTTGGGGCAGCTACCCAAGGTAACCTCATCCTGTCTCTAAATGTTGAAACAGAGCAAGGATTTTAAGTGCTTTCTCTGAGGAAGATGCTACAGACCCTCGCTCTGAGGAATGCAACATTAATGTTAAGGGGTAGCAGAGACGGAGAAAGTGGTACCTTGCTCCGTGAGCTCTGCCTACGTCTGGTATGTTCTGTTCTAATAAAAGATAACAGAAAGGTCAGCTTAGTAGTCATAAATTAGATAGGATGGACATCCAGGGAAGATAAAGGAGCTGAGTCAAGGGATTTTCACAAGCCCCTAGCACATAATCAGGAAAAGTTGAAAAGTTCATGACGAAGAAGAGAAGACAACCCCTCATGAGGCTGAAGGACCAGAACGATCACCAAAGATTTCCCCAAAAGGATGACTCCGTCTCAAGCTCCGCCTAAACCCCGCCTATTATGAATATGATAATTAGAATGTGAAATTAAATGAATATGTATGCAGAG